TTACTCAAATGCTCCCATTTGCCAAGTTGATTGCATATGTACAAGTCATGAAGTGTGCGTTCTCCGTGCATTGCATAACCGAATGCATCGTTGGCAGCCACACCGCATCCGACATGCAGCACAATTGGTTATTTCATTGCAGAAACAAAACAAACAAAACAAACAAACCGACCATTCAAGGGGATTACTATTTGTCCATTCGCAATGGGGAATGCATTAAAATGACAATTCTTATGGCATAGCAATTGGAGGAGAATTCTTTATTTTATATTAAAGACACATAAACATTTGTACATGGCGATGCATATATATGTTGCTAATAGCAATTTATGTATTTAAATTTAAAGAAGGAAAATGGCGACTTTGGGCTCGTGCTGTTCACGTCACAATTACACATACACACACACATACACTCATACAAGACAGAGAAAGTATGCGTTCCACTTGTAGGTGTTTGCTCTCGAAATACATGAGATGTGAAAGGAAGATTTCTGCAAGTAATGCCTTTAACAACGGTACACAACGGATAAAGATTATAGAAAAGATTTCTATTGCAACTTTAATAGATACATATTAATTTATATCTGCGAGGGAGCGTTTTCATGTTCGCTGAATGAGAGCTTTGTAGCGGGATGATTAGGCTCAGTCGCTCAAATTTATTTATTTACTTTACTGGTGGTGGAGGTCTTCCTCTTCACCTGCTGTTACCGGCAGATACAGCATCGAAATCTTTCAAAGCTGGAGTATTCGTATCCATCCGGAGCACATGACCTAGACAGCGTAGCAGCGGCTACTTGATTCGCTGAACTATATCAATATCGACGTATAACTCGTACAGCTCATCGTTCCAACCTTTGCGATATTCACTGTTGCCAATGCGCAGAGAACCATAAATCTTACGCAATACTCGACTCATGAGGCGTTGTCATCGTCCATGCCTCCGCACCATATAGCAGAAAGGGAATGAGAGGGGAGAGTTTGGTCTACGTTCGTCGAGAGAGGACTTTACTTTTGAATTGCCTACTCAGTCCAAAGTAGCAACTGTTGGCAAGAGTGTTTCTACGTTGGATTCCAAGGCTGACATTGTTGTTTTAATACTGGTTCCAGAGAGACGAAATTTTTCAAAATTCTAACTATCAAAAGAGACGTAGGAGCCGAGTCGCGAATGCAATGACTGTTTGTTTGATGCAGTAGATATTTCGTCTTGTCCCATATCTTTCGCCTCCTTATCCAGTCTGCAGAACGCAGAACTCTCGGCGCCCATAATTAGCATAAATGAATTAGGTTTCATTGTTGAGCTCCCATCAAGCGAAAAGTGAAATTTGGAAAAGGAAGGGAATCCCTTGAATACGCCCCGAGTGTGCTCGATTGTGCTCGACGATGTTCAATTGATTATCCGATACAACCATTTTTAAAATTCTGCATGACTAGCTGGATGTCACGAAGGTTAGCACAAGATTGGTGTCGATAATGCTTACGCCTTAGCCAGTTTAGACCTCTGTAATGAAGAGAATGATGGTGTTTTGAGTCGAATCGTTAACAGGACTTATTTAATTTTATCTCTTATTGAAAATTCTGTTTAATTCAATCCTTTGAGCTTCATTTAAAGAAATGTGAAAAATTAGAAATTTCGTTAGCACACTCTTGGTAGCTTTAAAATGAAAGAAAGTACCATCTCTCTTCAGCGAAGGCCCGTGACTCTTGCACAGCGATGGAGGTTGCCATAATAATCATACAATGTGACCTCTTGCTGACTTAATTTCAAATATTTTCTCGCCTAAGGTCATCATATTGAAATGTTTATTAACTTTCCATGGGAAATTCACACGAAACTTGCAGGTGAAAGAACAAAAGCCAAAAGTCCAAAAGCCAAACATATATGATCCTGACCAAAGTATGGAAAGTTCTGTTTCTAAGAATTTTGTCATTCACCTATGGAAATTAATAAACAAACAAACACACGTGCCTCTTGGTATATTTGTAAAGTCAAAAATTATTAACAAAAGAGAAACATATTGTTGCTTTGTTGCTGCACTCTCTGGACTGGTCAACGATTGTTACAGTCGCTTTGTTTTGAGAAATCCTTGATGCTCATTAGTGCATCGACACTGCGATGTACATGTGAATGTATGCAAGCAAGATTGGTGTGGTTAATGGTTGCATTGTTGCTGCTTCCACCTTACAAGGATTAGCCATACCGACTTAAGTCGTAATGAACTTTTCTCCTCTCGCTTACTACGGCACTTGTACTTGGTGTTCGCTGCTCAAGTCCTGCACGTCTATTGACATTGCGTTGTGTTGCCAACAGCGGTGATTGACGCAAATACATACATTATTACATTATTGATGCATTATTTTTAAGACTTATTTGGAGCTTCCACATCAACAATCACCAGCTGTGAGGGTATCAAAGGCCAAAGTCCTGTGCTATTTAAATGGTTTTACTCCAAAACCCACTGAAGATTATTATGAATGCGCACGCGGAGTCAGGCAACTGTATGAGTGACGCATCTAAACAAATCATGCTGTTTTGTGTAAATGCTGTTATATTTATAACGGTAATTCTTAAAAAGACGTAGCGATAATTCAGTAACGAGTTTTATATTTGCTAAGGACGATTGCATTAAATGGGAAAATGTGAGATGCGTATAAACTTTCCGGCGGGCGTGACACCACCCACTTTTGAGCCGAAAAATTTCATAACAGGAGCCACTGGATGAAATTCTATACTTATAATTCTCATAATTTACTATAAACATGAATTGCCTATGGGATCCATCAGGCAACAACTGCGCCCTTATCTTATATAGCGGACTCTACTCGAAAATTTAAGGTATTAATCAAATGAACTCAAACAAACTTGGTAGATTTCCTATTTTCAGTTGGGATTAAGTTATGTTACATTGCTCGTCTAATGCGCCTTACATAGATCCGTTGGTCCTTACACTCGTTCATAGTGCCCGGCATATTATAGCGATCTGAGGTAGTCGTCATATCGTTGAAGCTCAAGAGAGACTAAGTATCCAATTCAGTAGCTCTTCAGTCCTTTGAACTGCTTTAAGTTACCTAAATTGAATTTAAGCTAAGCTTAAGCCTTCCTCTCTGCACTTCCCCTATGTGCCACTGCTACTAACGCCCTTTTGGCAGGGAATGCCAGTAGCTTGTGGTTCGACATTAGGCCAACAAATCTACTGTAGTTCTTTCGATTTTGATAATTTTGCATGTCGCTAATGAGTTACATCTCGCTCTCATCTTACAACTAGGTCTTTCGGAATATATAGATTGCTTAACCCTCGGCCATCGGCTCTGTCTAATGCTTCCGGGATGAAATACGATGTGTTGCTAGACTAGCGACGTACTAAAGGCGTTCGCCAGGGAAATACAGCAGTACGTTGGACGCCTGAAGGATTGCCTGAGATCTAGCTCAGCGCAGTATACTTGTTGCCTATTAATTACTACAAACTCCCTGTATATCGAGATGGGCTCGAAGGTTCTATACTGCGAAAAGATTGATCGTAGGATGAGTGTCTACGTTGCTCAGTGGAGAAAACCGGCTTTACTAACGCTGTGTAACATCAATGCATGAGGCCAGAGGTTAGACTAACCTAAAGCACATCACTTTTTAGCCTTTTCCTTACCTTAAGCTTCTACATCAGTTTGTTATCTAAATTTACTATCAGCTACGCGGTGTGATTCTTGATTGACGGCTCTACCCACAGAGTCCTGGGAGCTTCCACGCAGATTTTGCACCTTCTTGTGAACAGTACCACAGCGACAACATTTCTCCTTGACATAAGTCCAAATCGACGTCCGACCCTGAAATGGACTTTATATGAGGAGCAAAACCACTTGTGAAATCTAAGCACGAAGAATCTGCACCAAAAGTAATGATACCAGTTTACTTTCCTTTCTAGAAGTTGAAAAATGTTTCAAATTTGAATGCGTTTTTTTATCTATTCTGTCGACGCCGTTGTTATTGGCCTTGTTTTTTAGGTAACTGTACCCATTAAGAACTAACGAGTTCCAATTTGACAGATGTCACTTGATGTACATTTGTCGTGGGGTAAAAGCTCAATGCTTAAGCAACATTTTTGAGGAAGTATTTTTCCAAGTGTTCTTAACAGCTGTCAATGACCTCTTATAAGCGCAGTAAATTCATCCAGAAAGGTTAACGCTTAGTTTGTTATCCGATCTTAAGCCAACAAAAAGAGTGTAAACACAATACAAGCAATAACATAGAGAACTCAGCGGCTCAACCGTGCCTATGGCTTGGATTATTTGAGGTGTAGGCGTTTTATTGAAAGCTCTCAGCGTCAGTTCACACGTGCGGATGACACTACAAACATACGATATGTGCTTCAGAATCCCTAAGGAATTCACTAAGTATACATATACCCGCTGCCCCCGACAGCATAACAAATGACTTTAGTCGAATCAATTGAAGTGTAACACACAATTGCTCTTGCCAATCAGTGTTAACGATCAACACTTGAGCATAGATTCAATCAAGCACACGCCCACCAAGGGCAGATTCCTTTTAATTTCTTTGGAGTTGCTTGGTGTTAGCTTATGGCCTTGTAATTGTGGAGGAAGACAATGTTGTTGGAAATTTGTAATTCTACGTATGTCGACGAAAGTGAAATCTCAGCTCATGGCCACTAATATGGACATCTACAAGGATTGTGCGCAGCTAGCACAAAGCCTCACGGCGCGTTGGTTGCGTTTTTTCGGCCTCTTTGTCTTCAGCATTTGTTTGTTATGTTATCGTCTATTTTCTATCTTGATACCGCGCGTGTTAGCGGCTTAAATACTATCCTCTTAAGCCTCTCCAGTTTCATTCTTATTGGTATTCTAGGAGAGATTTGTGGGCCTTTGCTTATTGGACTTTTTGTGTGGGACAATTCTATAAAAAGCATGACAAACTCCAGTGAGGTAGTCAGTGCCGCTGTTCGTGTCTAGTAAGAAAGATTAATACAGAAAATTCTAATTCCACAATAAAAATGTTTAAATTGGTAAGTTTTTCGTTATTATAAAATTGTGTTTTTCTACCAGTGAGGCGTACCACGAATATACTCATTGATTTGTATTTCAAAAATATTTAATATTATTTTTCAAAATTAAAGTTGATTATGAGAAGAGGCTAAGCAAATAGAACCTTAATTATTTCTTACGTCCAGAAAAATCGGCTACCTGCGACCATCAAACCGCAGTCCAGGTCAAGGTCCAAGAAACGGTCTGCTTCAAAGGGTTCAGACCAGAGTGGGATGTTAAGTGAATTGGTTTACAAAGTAGTGGTTAGTGTCATGCGATGGCTCATTGCATGCTGGACATACATTAGGTTTGTCAGGGTCAATTCTGAATAGATAGAAATGAAGTTGACTACAATAACCAGACATTAACTATGTTAGTATTACTCGGCTCTCTCGTGTCAGCTCAAACTCTCGTCTGTAATAGGTGGTGGTTGTATTCCGAGCACGCCATTGACGGAAAGTGAGTTTAGGAAGTTGTTGACAGACTCTCCCTAGGTGAATGGCGTCTTAGATGCTGTAAGGAGCCTTTCAAGTTAAGTACTACCTTACTTGTGGTGTCCATTGGGATGTTCACGACGTAAGCATCTGAACAGGTATTGTTTCCACAGCTTGATGTTGCGGTCCTTAACTGGAAGCGTATTATTGTGTACGTGATGCAAGCGCGGCATCAGGAGCTTTCTCGCCACATTCCTCAGCACGGTTTTCGGGCAAGCTTGTAGCTTCTTCAACTACGTTTCGCTAGCTACCTGACTTCAGATAAGCACAGGGTAGTTAATGATCAGTCGGCCGATCGTCTTCTAAGTGCTCTCATTTAATTGCATCCATTTTTTTTCGGATAGACTGGCCGCATTGTTAAGCTTGAAATCTTTAACTATAAGGTCGGAAGCAATAGAGAATTCCGCAGATCACTTAACCGTTACGTTAATGGCTAAGCAGTTCTTTCTGGACTTGATTTGAGAGCCTAGACAAAGCAACTAGCCGATTAACGAAATAGCGGACGGGCTTGTAAGGAATGGCACTTATCTTCCACAATTGGCATCATGGCAGCTGGCAAGAGAGGATGAACGCACCATCAAACGACATCTGTCGAGTTTGTAGAGAGGAGAAAGAAGCTGATACTCATTCTAGGCAAATGTTCTGAGCTTTGGGAGAGTAGTGTCGGAAACCTGTCGAGATTTGAATGAAATACCGGATGCAAAGATACGCCTATTGCTTGATTTTTTGAAGTTCATGCATTGGCTTGAGTAAAGGGTGGGAGCTATTAGAATGCCCAGTTGTATTACAATCTACTACTGGTGGCCTAAGTGAGTTCATATCCAGCAACCACTTGAACCTAAGCTTTCCATACATTACGTGCGCTTTAAAACTTTTCTTACTAAGAGAGAAACCCACAGCCGATTACGATCAACATTTTATTTTATAACCTTTAAACAGTTTTGAAGATAATATATCTTTCAAATAACTTATTTTTTACTTTCCAGTTCGTTCTCATCTCCTTCTTTGCTCTGGCCAACGCCGCACCCGATGCACTCCCCCTAGCAGAGGCATTGCCAGTTTACAAATCTGCACTACTTGCAGAGCCAGCACATGTTGAAGTGCACGAACCCGCTTTGGCCAAAGTGGGCGATGTGGTCGAGAGCGTGCCCACTGCTGTTTCCCATCAGAGCTCAACTGTGGTACACAGCAAAGCTCAACGTATTACACCGCTAGTAGCGCCCGCCGTACGCTCATATACTGCTCCGGCTATACGTACTTATGCAGCGGAAGCTCCATTATGGCACAACGCTCCACTCTTTACAACATCTCTGTTTCGTGCATTGCCATTTGGTTTGGGTCCTGCTGCTGCTTTCGTACATGCCAACGCTCCAGTACAAGTACGCTCTTTCGGCTCTGCTGCTTCCATACAGGCGCCATTCTATCGTACATATGGATTCACTACTTATGGACAACCATTGGTTTATCCTGCTGCTGAGCTCCAAAAATAAATGGTGAATTTCTTTGTGCGCTTCCTGCTGTACGTTGATTTTTGAGCAAATCTCTAATTGAGTTCCTTATGATACTGTTAGATGTAACTAAAAAAAAAAAAATGAAAAATAAATAAATAAAAAAATTAAAAAAAAAATTAAAATAACAACCATTCGAAAGTTTTTTGAAATAAAGTGTTGAAGGTGTATTTGTGAATAATTATTTCTGCTCGTGTCCTCCACATAATCCTTGTAGATTTGCTTACCTGGATGCTATTTTGGTCTTGCGGCATAATTAGGCACAAATTTCCGCTCTCACTGCTTAATTATGTAAACAATTGGAAGATGTTTGGCTATCGAAAGGTATTTATATTTGAGAATTTATGCAATTTTTGGCGTATGTTTCTATTTTTGGAAATAATGAAATGTACAATAATATTCTCACTAACAAAACGTTTCTATCAGAAATATTGATTAATTAATTATCTGAATGCCATTTTTTGGGAAATGTAATTGATTGAGCGATGAGCAACGTCTAAGGTCGCCATTGATAAAGCGATTTTTATATTAAAGTTTTCATATCACCAAGGACGGCCTTTTTATGTACCGCATATTGGATCGTCGATGTGATATAATTTGAATATCTCCTAGCCTTTCTAGAATCATCGGCATGAAGGAAGTAAGGTTGGCATTATCTTCTACCCGGTATTGTGAGGAAAACTACAATGACCCTTTACCAGCTTCGTGGAATGTAAGCCACATACAGGGTTTTCCAATAGCGCTCCGCCAGATATAGCTTTTGAGCCCGTAATTTTTTGACTTTTGACAAGTAAAAACTACGCAAATCACAAAAATGGAACCATACACGCTTCTAGAACACACATAGCTTATTAAAACCCACTTTATAAATGATGAAAACCTGGCGGAGACGGTTCGTAAAACTAAAACATTTTTCTGTTGTCGTGAAGCACCTTGTCGGATTGTAATATAGAAATTGGGGGAAAAAATGGTGCTGTTGGGCCAAGTTCGTAAGGAGAAGAATAAGCCACGTGCACGTGAGTATATTGCTGCTGTAGCCCAAAGTGTTGAAGAAAACACAGGTCTGCCCATTCCTCGTCGTTTTTTTTTTGGAATTGGGCACCACCGTCTTTTATTTGGGTCTTAAGGTTTATTAACGGTCACTTAACTCACGAACTTAAGCCGACCAATCATTAGCAACGTCGTTGCATTGTTGATTGGGTCCTTGAAATGCATGAAAATTATCCGGAATTTCATCGAAAAATCATCTTGACTGAAGAGGCCCATTTCTACCTTGATGTCTACGTCAATAAGCAAAATTGTCACATCTGGGAGTCGGGAAATCCAAGATTCATTGCCGAAAAGCCTCTCCGTCCTCAACACGTACCTGTTTGGTGCATGGTGAGGCATTGGATCTTAGTTCTTCGTAAATAACGTTGGAGCAAGGGTTAAGGTGAATGGATTGGGCTATCGAGAGAAGGTCAATGATTTTTTATGGCCGGAATTGGTGCCCACATCCAGTTAAGTCTCCTCCAAACGGCCGATTAATTTTTCTGAGGAGCATTTTATTTAATGTCAGAATCATACTCGACATACATTCCCCGTCAAAGGACCACCACATTTAGAAAATTTAGCTTAATTTTCTATATATTTTGGATGTTGTTGTTGTACCAAGACTTGAACCCGGGCCTTCCGAGTTGCAGTACGCAATGTTAACTACCCGGTTAATGCATGGCGGCCTATTGACCTGGACAACGTCTACTTCCGACGAGTCGCCTTTGGCTGACTTTGTAATTATTGTTGACTATATTTCTTGCGGGTGACGATAAGATTTTATTCTGGTTTTAGACTTTTTCTAAGTCGTCTGGAGGCGATCAGAGGTATTTCTCAATAAAATTCGATTATCTTCCTTACGGGGTTATTTAGACACTTTAGTTTTACATAATATTATATTGTACCAAGCAAAAAACATACTGAATGTTTTATATATTATATAAATATTTTTTTTTATGTGACAATATATACATACTCTTATATACATATATATATATAATATATATAATATATATATATAATATATATATATATATATATATATATTGTTTATGAGCCAAACCAAAACATCCCAATTAGATTTATCTGAAAGGGTAGAGCTTATGCTCATAAGTGCCCCAATATATACGAGTATGGGTGCATACATATTTAGTTCTGTACATATGTATATATGTATGTATATATGCGACACTGTCTGCTGCCGTGGCGGAAAGACACAAAAATCTATAGACGACTGTGGCTATGGTTATTTGAATGTGACGAAAGTGACAACAATGCCGCCGTCGCGACATCAAAAATCAATGCAATAAAAGAGGTATTAAATATAAGTATGTGCATATGTACGAGTATATCATCAATAGTTGATGAATGTATGCAATGTACATAAAAGAAAAAAATTGGTAGATGTGAAACTTGCATTTGGTAGAAGGCTTGTAGGGCAATCTTTATTTTTTTAACATTTTTATTTTTTATATTTATTATTAAAAGACTTACTGCGCCCTATGGCTGGAGGTTACATCTATTTGTAAGTTCAAAAAAAAAAAACCCAGTTTATAGGTGAATTTTTTGTGAAGAGGTCTATATTTTATTAAATAAACACATAGATTAGGTGAAGTTATAGCTAATTTAATATTTATTTATTTATAAATTTATTTACATTGAGTTCTGTTGTTCTCAGAGGACCTACCCAAAAAAGATACCTGGCCGTTGTGTGGAAGATATTCCTGACCGAAATTATCTGGAGAGAAAAATGAAAAGGTTTATCTTTAGGACATTTGAACACAGATTACGTTTTTTGACAAAATGGCGGTTTGCTAAAGAGAACTGCCGGAATCAGAAGCCCTGTATGTACCTTCCATCATTACCTAAGAAAATCGTGTGAAAGTTTCAAGCTCATCATTCCAGTCGTTTCGGTTGAAATCCTAACACTAAAGCGGTTATCAAAAAATATTTCTTTTTGTTTCTACTCGAAACGAAATTCTGCCGTTAATTTTAAATCGGCAATGTTATATCGTTAACAGATAATGTTATTTCGTTAACAGATAATGTTAAATATCTAACAGATAATGTTAAATCATTAACAGGTAATGTTAAATCGTTAACAGATAATGTTAAATCGTTAACAGATAATGTTAAATCGTTAACAGATAATGTTAAATCGTTAACAGGTAATGTTAAATCGTTAACAGATAATATTAAACGTTAAAATTGGAGTGTGCTGCTAATCGCAGTCATTTTAAAATTAACATTGTGTGGTTTCAGCATTAACAATTTCTGTTCATTTCGTTAACATTGACGCTGTTCTTTCTATCGAGCTCATGTTAAAGCACATTTTGTCTGTTGAATTTAGTGTGAACAGATTTTCCCACAGGATATCTTCATTTTCTCAGCAAAAATAATAATAATAATAAAAATGAGAGGAAAGCAGTTAATTGGAAAATATTTACTGCTTATTTGACACACATTTTTACAAGAGTATCAAATTCTTTGAAATATTTTATAAATATATGTACATACATATAAATCTTTGTATTTTTCTTTGGAATACCCGTTTCATTTTACGCGATTTAGAAATGTTACAAAAGTACTCCAAGAATTTCTTTAAACTTTATTATAGAAAAATAATATTTTTATATTTATTTTTATTGCCATACATATATACACATATAATACAAATAAAATATAAATATGTATGTATATAAGTCACACTAAACATTGGTATATTTTTCTTTCGAAGTTATGTAATTTATTCGTACATATTTTTTACCTCATTTCCAGTTAAGTAATATTCAGTGAGAATTCCACTTAATGATGTGTTCAATAATTTAGCTGAAAGCAAATAAAAAGACTGAGTAGAAATGCAATAATATAAAAAATTATATATTATAAATTTTTTTTATGCCCTAAAGTTCATAAAAATTATTTCAGCTTAAATTTATTTATTTCAAATTTTAAAGCGATGAACAACCGATATCGGTGTTTCTATACTTTTAGCGTTTCGATATTAAAAATGACTAGTTGGGAAATTTTTATATAGTTTTAACATTGGAAGCCAAGTGTATTTTTGCGGCAGCAACAGTCGATTTTTTACCAATGCGTATCGACAATGGCCAAAAATTGGAGTACTACCCCCGCCGAATGGCAGCCCAGCCATACAGAGGTTGAGTTGTACTGGGTTTTGGGTCTCAGTTTGCTGTTATGTGAACGTTTTCTCGCCCAAAGTTGAATCGTTGAAATAGCCTAAATAAGGAAGATCCTTTGTCTAATACATACACGTATGTATATTTCTCGACTGGCCACTGGTCATACTCGTTATGCAAAATATGGCATAAATTGCAACTAAGAAGAAATGGACTGCACTTCTATGTAAGCATCACATTACGGTGTGGAGATTATATCACTGCTGTTGTTGTAATTTCATAATTCATAAGCAATCAATACATAATCGCGCTCATTCCTCTAAGTTTGAATCATCCGCCGGCCCAGCGAAGCGGTGAAAATGCAGCATTCTTCCATTTCATTGCCGGTGCACACACAAACCTATTGAAACCCAAGACGTTCTAAGTGAGCGATTGACGTGAATTCATTCATCTGCAACGGTAGTTAGTAAGTATAAAAGCTTCCTGAAAACAATGCTGGAGCATCAGTAAGAAGCTGGTATTTTCTAAAGCAAACATTTTGAAAGATTGTGCGAAATAACAATGTTCAAATTGGTGAGCCTGATTTAAATAACTTAAGTGCTCTCTCTCCTCTGTGTACTTGATTATTCATAATCCAACTCATAAATCTCCATCCGCAGTTGCCACCACTACTACTACTCAGCACCTGCATTGTGTGCGGTATTGCCTCACCAGAGCCGGACGGTCGTTTCAATTTCATCAGCAGCAGCCGCATCAGCGGCTCTTCCATAAAACCGTTACAAACAATATCCTTGACAGCCAAGAGTCAGTACCCACCACAGCAGTATCAGCAGCAGATACAATCAAATACTGTTACGTCTGGGGAAGCGGACGACAATAACGACTTGACGGACACTGTAGCCAGGCAAGACGGAATTGCGCCCGCATCTGTGACTACAATAACTACCTCCTCACCAGTTCGCGGCATCAAATCGACTGTAGGATCGCCCATAACTCGCCTAACAGCTGTGGCTTCTGCTGGTTCGGCGACAGCATCAGCATCGGCATCGCGTTCCGGGCTACGAGTGTCCTCTTCAATTAACTTACCATCAAGCAGCAGCTCTACGACAACTGTACAACATCACATCTTACCCGCCGAAACTCTACCCTTACCCATCACCATTTCTACACGTCCTGGACTGCGTACTGTTATCGCACCGGAGACAATAACTATTCACGAGCCGACTGTAGCTAAGGTGGGTGAAGTGGTGCAGAAAATACCGACTGCCGTGTCGCATCAGAGCCAAACCGTTGTCCATAAGCATGCGCGTGTGGTCACGCCCATTGTGGCACCCGCAGTGCGTACAATCACGTCGCAAGTGTTGCGCGCCTATCACACCCCGCTCATCTTCGCACCTGAAACCACAGTCATACGTGCAAGCGACTCAAAGCCAAAGGCAAGTGCATCTGCAAGTGCAAGTGCAAGTGCAAGCGCCAGCGTCAGCTCGAATGCAAACAACGCCGACGGCAGCGCAAACATATCGAAATACAAAAACTGAAGCGAAAGATGCTCTCATTGCTGAATTAGCTATTATTTACTTTAAAATCTTTTGAAACTGCTCATTGTGTTCCAGGCTAATGTACTGTTTGATAGGAAATTTATTTAAAAATTTAATTATCAAAATTTTACTCAATGTGTCATTTGGAAATCTTTAAGTTTTGGAATACAGAAAATAAAACTGTAATTTTTGGCATTTACAAAATGGACGACCCTTTTTATTATACAGCTGGGGTGATCGCGTTTGACCACCAAGATCTTGTGACTTAACACTTTGTGACTTTTTCCTTCGGGGCCACATGAGAGGTGAGGTCTACGCCAAAAGGACAACGTCGATTCAAGACCTCAAAGATGAGGGTATACGGCCGCCAGTTTGCATTTTGGTGATAGAAAATTTCATAATGAGGATACGGTCCTCTAAGAGTGATCGGGGCGTATGCTCTTCTTTAAAATGAGTGGACAGTGCCTAACGAATTGTCATCGCCGTTTCAGTGACCGTTGTTCTTGTTTTCGTATTATTCACGCTCGAAAATGTCCGTTTATGTACCTAATTTTCGCCATTTGTGGGAAGTTTTACTTTTCTGTTACAATTCGAAAAAAAATGCAGCTGAAGCGCATCGAATGCTCTCAGAAACTTACGGTGATGCTGCTCTGAGCGAAAGAACATGTCGGGAGTGGTTTCAACGTTTTAAAAATGGTGATTTCGATGTCGAAGACAAACATGGTGGTAGAAGGGAAAAAACCTTCAAAGATGAACAACTAGAAGCATTGCTTGATGAAGATTCGTGGCAAACCCAAGAACAGCTTGCCGAATTGTTGGAAGTGAGTTAGCAAGCCATTTCAAAACGTCTCAAGGCCCTGGGCATGATTAAGAAAGAAAGAAACTAAGTGCCGTACGAGTTGAAACCGCGACTCACGTCGCAAAAGTGGTCAAAAAGTACCTGGAAACGCTGAAATGGGAAGTCTTGCCCCACCCGCCGTATTCCCCAGATGTCGCCCCTTCTGACTTCCACCTATTCCGTTCGATGGCACACGGCCTGGCAGATCAACATTTTCAATTCTTCGAAGAATTGGAAAAATGGATTGCTTCATGGATAGCGTCAAAGGAGGACTTCTTTTTTCGACCCTGGATCCGAAAATTGCTGGAAAGATGGGAGAAAGTTGTCGCTAGCGAAAGACAATACTTTGAATAATATTTCTCTAAGCACTTTTTCGCTATAAAGCTTTTAATTTTGGAAAAAACGGCGGAATCAAAGTTGTACACCTGATATAAATTTCATTTCATTTATTTATTGCTATAATTAAATATAATTTTACTGTTTTTAAGGAAGTATTAATAAACATTAAAAATAATATAAGTAATTAATACCAAAGCCTTGGCGCCAAGAAATTCAAATTCCCTACTTCGTTGCATTATCGACGAGTAATTTTGTAGTTTCCGCGAACATAGGCTTGACACATGGCAAAGAGAATTCGAGAGAGCATGTTAGTGTTGGATGGCTTATATTTCTATTTTCACTCTCCCCTTAAAGGACAACTGAACAACTTAATGTGTATATTGGACATTCCTCGGGCTTGGTACTAATTCGTCGAAACTAATTTTTCGCACTGGTTTAATATCGGGAAGCGTCTGAAATACCACTGGCCGTGCCGAGAAGGTCAAATGCGCTGGCGTATGAGAGAGAGTTTGGACTTTCGATGTATTCGCCGTGATCACTGTCGCTGTGCTCCCGCTACTCTCCAGCAGTTGTGCTGTTGATGGGACATGATTCACAAATGTTGTTGTTGGAATGCCACTTAATTGCTGCGATGTGTACAATGGTTGCACCGCAACAGTTGGAATTTGATTCACCGCTGCCACTTGCGCGGCTGTGGTGCCATCGTCGAGGTGTGGCTGGGCGATTTGTTGATTTCCGTGCTTGTTGTAGGATTGATTGTGTACACGTACGAAAGATGTGTGCGTTACAGCAGAGGGTGTATTGTGAACAATGGTGGCGATATTAATATCGCCGGCTTGTTGTAAGTCTTCGGGTGTTAAAGAGAATATGCCGGCGTCACTGCGAGCTAGGGAGACGAGGAGAAGGGCGGCGGATAACAACTGCAGCTGAAAAAGTAACTAGAATTTACTGTAATTATACGCTATAATAAATTTAATTTAATACCATTCTGTATTCAATTAATAATCTCGAAAGGTGTAATGTAGTTAACGCAGCGCTCAATTTGAGATTAACGCTTGCGTTGAGCTTAGTTCGAATTTATACATTGCAGTGGCAGTTTGTAGCGCTTTGTGGACCTTGCTTACTCTTGTCGCACCTTGAAATGGTATCCAGCTCATGCAGCAGCCTCGACTGTTCATGTGGTTTGGTGCTTTTTGTATTTTCAATTTTTCACTCATGCATCCCTCGTACTACACATGTTTTGTCAATGATCAAGGTCAGATGTAACGAGAAGATCCCAAGTAACCGAAAAAAAACATTTAGCTTTATGAACAAATAAATATTGTTAGTGATAATTTGGCAGTATTTGATGGATATGTTTATACCCCGTAGGAAATTTTCTCCGTTCTCCGTTATTTTCCTCATGAAGTATCATTAACCTATGCTAGCCGAGCGCAGGGCTCTTTTCTCTCCACGCACTTCCCTGACGTTACTAAGAACTTAATAGCCGTCTCCTGTTATGTTTTGTACATTACCTGTTACCACTATAACGTTTCGATAGGCTATTAGCTTGCCGATACAAGAGAGTATCTATGCAATTCAGCAGTGGCTACATCTTTTTCTAAAAAGATTCCATCTTTTCAATTCATCGAATCATCTTCTTGCCCTCGGTGCTTTTATACACTAATATTCAATAAAGTTGGACTTCTTCTTTCTTATAACTGAACTTATATTTCAAAAATCTGCAATAACGCTGGAAGGCGAATTAAGTGTGGGTGCCCCAACTGAAAAACATCAAGACCCTTCCCAAGGTAGCGAGAAAATAGGACGACGTAAAACCGATATTAGTATTTACTGAATCATAGTAAGCAAAGCTGATTCTTTAAGTCAGAAAAGGAAATTATGCATGACGCTAATGGAGAAATGTGTTTGAAGATTTCTAAATTAAAAAAAAAAAAACTTTTTGGACGACGATTCAACGAAACACGGCTTGTTGGCTGAATGAAAGAATATAAAGAAGAATAGAAAAAACTAGTCCTGTCATAAACGGTACAGCAAAACCGTTACAATTGCCCACAGAGCCTAACAAGTTTTGGAAAAGATGTACTTGGGGTCTACGGTACAAATTTAAATTGGATGGGTCCATCTGACTATCTAGAGTCAAGACCGCATTGTATACAAGAAGAAAAACTTAAGATATTGGGATGGCTTGTGTGTTGCCTGGACCTTAAACCGATGATGATAAGATTCTAAAATTATGTTGTTTTGTAGACTGGAATTGAGTACACTTGACTGAAAGCAGCGATAGTGTTTTTTTATCTATTTGAAAGCATGTCAGCCATGCCATCTATGTGTTAGGTCCTGAACTTTTCAGCCCTTGGAAAAATAGATACACCTTCGTTGACAATAGAAGTCCTCACAAGATCATCAGAAGCGTGAAAATTATTTTTAGTTAACATCTTTAAGTAGAATTCGAACGAAGGAAAAACAATTAAGTGGAAATTAAATTTTTGCCAGACTTTTTTATAAAAATTCAAATTTTCGTAAAATTTACTCAACATATTTTTTAAATCACTTGTGATAGAAAAAAATTATTCTTCGGCTAATTGCTCGTGAATTGTATCTCCAGAATCTGTGAAAATTTTATCAAAATCAATTGAGTAATTATCGAGAACTTTGAGAAAAACACATTTAAAGTTTAAGGCTTTGAGTCTACCAGATTGTGAGAGGACACATTCTGAAAGCATTATCGCCGAGGCTTTTACTCGGATAGACATGAAAAGTTGATTTTTGGAAGCTGTGAAAGCCATTTCACTCCTTAAGGTAAGCTGACCTTAAGTCATAACGAATAAAAATTAAAAAAAAAAATAACTAAATATAGTTGTCAGTATCTTACATTTGGAAAATAAGAAAAATTTTGAAAAAAATATTTTATGGAACATCAACTTTTATACTGATAATTTGCATATTTTGTAGCTTATTGATAATTTTTGAAAGACATACATATTAGGGCTCTAGATACCGGGACGTAGAGCAGAGGGAGCAGCTCGTTCAATGTTTTTGTTTTTTTTTTTTAAATAAATTTTTAGTTTTTTATGAAAATTTCTTTAGCATTCCAATGAGTTGTTCACTTTGCATAAATCAATTTAAAATTATTAAAAGAAGATTTAAGAAAAAAGTCAAAAGTTTTGCTCAAAATACTTGAAAAAGTTCGATTTGAGACATTGCTCAAAGTCTCAAGCTGCTCGAAAATTATCGAGCAAATTCTTGAGCTCTAATACAAATGTACATATATACATTTACAGAGAAGTATATGTATGTAAATCACGATACTTATTTTTTCTATTGGGAATGCTAATGTGGGTACAATATTTCTTATTGTGTATTGCAGTTGCGATTGCCATCACCTCAAGAGAGCTAATTTGGCAACGATGGTTTATTGGTAGGTTTACTGATTTGTAAGTAGTTAGTATTTATGAACATGTGCATGTACAAATGTATATATATATGAAGACATGTTTTTGACAAACGCAAATATTTTCAAATGTTCGGTTGAAGGGTTCACTGGTATTCGGAATATTCGATGGATATTTTTTATGTACAGTCGGGGATTTTCTGCTCTAAAAGAGTGTAAATGTGGGTATATGTCTTGGATTGGTGGAGATGTTTAATTGTGTAAGCTTAATAGGATTTAGAGATATAATAAAATAATAAAATCAGTGATAATACAGGGTTTTCCAAAAAGATATGTTAGTTTGATATTTAAAGAAAAATGCCATTTTTGCGATAAATGATCGGACGTTTATTTCAATGTGAGAATTAAGATGTGCCATCAGTAATGGAAAACATTATCAGAGAAATGGCCGCCCCGTCTCCACCTACAGGACTGTATACTTATAATGAAATTTTCCATCACCAAAACACAAAGTGGGCGCCGTATGCCCTCGAAAGCTTCATTAAATCGACGCTGGCCTGTTTTCGGAGATCTTATCTTTCAGGTAGCCCTAAAGTAAGAAACTAAAAGGTGTCAAGTCATAAGATCTCTGTGGTCGTATCTTATATCTCGTCGAGATAACACGTTCCTGAATCGATGTTTTCGTTGCTTGTCTAGCACGTAGAGCCGTCTTGTTGAAAGTAAATGTTGTTCCAGGCAATATCATCCAATTCTGGGCATACAAAAACATTAGTCATCTTTCGATAGCACAATCCATTCACCGTAACTGTTGCTCTAGCCACATTTTCGAACAAGTTATGATCCCGCCGGATCATAAACGACACCAAACAGTTACACGTTGAGGATGGATGGGCTTTTCAACAATAAATCTTGGGTTTTGTGACAGTTTTGCTTATTTACGTAGACATGGAGGTGGAGGAAACTAGCCTCATAAGCAACAGAAAATATTTTGTTTTGCATCTGCCAGGGTATCGCCATTTTATATTGACCTTTAATCACTTGAATGTGTTTTTGAGGCTTGTGTCGTTGCAATTTTATTGCTGGCGTACTTTTTACTTGTAAAAATGTCAGCTTCAAAAGTAACATCTACCGGAATGGTAGGCTATTAAAAATAACAACTCTTATTGAAAAACCCTTTATAGTATTTGGCTTAAGCTGACATTTAAAATTCGATCAGACACTAATAATTTACCATCTCATCTACATACATATGTACATGTGCGAGCAATAAGTACCTATGCACATATTCATACATATATGTGTGTATATATGTATACACTATGATTTAATTGTTAGTACTTTGCTCATTTGCTGCAGGCCATTTAAGCATTTCTTGTTGTTATTAAATATATTTCTCGTGCTATACAATTCTTCATATAAATGAATGTTTGTATGTGCTTTTTTTTCTATATGTATGTATGTATACCCATGTACGCGTATGTGCACAGCTCTGCACGTACTGAACGTAGTGCGGCGCTCATGCGCACAAAAAGCATTATGTTCAATCAACCTTCAATAGCTCATTTGTTAATTTAATACCTTTTTGATTTATTTCATTTCCACTTTTAGCATCGTGTACTTTGCTTTTATTTATATTTTTAATTTTATTTCGTTTTACTTCTTTCTCGAATGAATCTTACGCAATTCAAGCATAACTAAGCGAGAGAAAAAGTCAATATTGTAATCGTTTTCTTGCCACCTACAACACCTGAAAAAGCAATAACAACAACCAAGTACCTGTACTTGTCGCATTTTTAGTTTATTTATATTTTTATTGTTGTTTTTTTTTCTTCGTTTGCACTTGTAATTTAAATTAAATGAATGTTGGAGTTCTCTCAGTTTGATTTTATACCCCGCACGAAATGTTGATATGCAACTGAAATGAGTACTCTGCTTATGTGGAGCGGGTAGCTGGGAACTGCTGAAGAATACTGGGATATTCAGATGTGACTTGTCTTCTTGACTGGCCTGTATCAGCAACCGCGCCACAGACGTTTCCTTAAGCAGCGCTTATTAGAGACACCAAGTCGGCAAGCAAAGTCCTTCTTAACTTACTCTTGCCAACGGAGTATAGGTCTTCGATTGATGCCAGTTCCGAGTTGCTGAAAACCGCTGAGACACTCAAGTAGTTTCATGGATTTTCTTGTGCTGGAATCTAGTACTATAGGCAACCATATATCGCGAATCAGTGCTGACGACGGACTCAATCCATTTGGAGATGCTATGTCCTATATGCTAACAGTCGTGATAAAGATTTTGTCTACCTGGCGTTAAAATCTCAAAGCGAACATCAAGCTTTTACGCCTCTTTACGCCTTTCCTAAGCCGCTATCCTCAAGACCAATACCCCGCTCATAGAGGCACCATTGGCGAACAGACTCTACAAAAAGACTCTGGTGGGCTCTTAAGTCGGATATATCGGAGTGGTTACAGAAACCTCTAAAACATCTTGAATGCCTTACAAAAAAATGCCAAGATAGCAAGGTGAATTTGGCCTGGACTCCAACTGCACGTCAGATATGAAAAATCAACATGACCTTTGATAGTTTGGTTCTCATGGTGTTTGGCTTCATCTCAATTTAACTTACTCTGCCCAATTTCGTCTCTTAACCGCGTTATGCGGCAGCAAATATATATATGTATTGGCTTTCTAGCTGCTTGAGAAACTTTCGGCCGAGCTTCTCTTTCAAGGTTGTTTTCTTAAGGTTTTTTTCGCAAATGGAGTGACGAGTTTAATATGAGTTTCCTCTCAATGGGTGATGGATTTGTATGAGAATATTTTTATTTCATACCAGAAATACATTCAGAGGACTTGACATTCCCAGCCGAGCCGCGACTGGAATTTCAAAAATGATTAACTTTTAATTAATTCTCCACAATTTTGAATGTTGGCCTGTAAAGGACTCAAACTCTGCAGTTCCCATAGCCGAATGGTAGTACCCACTCGACTTTCGTTGTCACGATGACAAAGGTTCAGTGATACGAACCCGTGAATGGTATTAATTTGACGGTGCGTTTGATGTAAAATGCGTCTCCCCACTTAATGGTCCGCCAGCCACTCCTCGAATGGGCGCGAAAATTACGCATAAAGTTCGTCAATGACGGTCTCTCATTTCTCGCTTCATTTTGCATGCTTCAGTCGTATTGTTGTATTTATTATTATTATTATTGTATTTAATTTTGTTATTGACTATCACAATTAAAGGCTTGGGCAAGTACAAATACCCTAGAGCACTTATATTTCTAAGCAATAATATACGTATATACAAGTATGTATGCATGAGCGTGTGCTTGAGTGCCTTTGAAATCCAGTTTTTTTACCGCAACACTGATACCCAACCGGCCGCATTCACTACAACCATAACGCTTGCCAATAGTTTATAGCAACAATCGCAACAATCGCCCGGCTCGCTAAGTACCCGCTCACTTCACTCATACACTCAGGCATGTGTTAGTCTGTTAGTCATTGGGCAAAACAGCCAGCTAAGCAGCCAGGCAAGCAAACCATCAACCGAGCGATCAGTCAGTCTTTCAGTCTGTCCGCGACACTGCGCTTTCTTAGTTTGCCGTTTTTTAGTGAGCCGTGAGCCGTGAGCCGAGAGCCGTGCGCCTGCTGTTGTCTTGAACGTATTATTGAAGAATTGGAATTGTTCAAGCACGTAAACATGAAATACGTAAGTATGCACATAAGTAAGTGCATCTACAAATGGGTTGAGTCAATCCGTTACACTGTTGCACTGTTGCACTGTTGCAATTCCCATTCAGATTTTCAACTACAAACATTTAAATGTAACACGTTTCCCGCAGTTTTCCACCACATTTGCTGCGCTTTTCCTTTGCGGCATGATGTTCCAATACCAATGCATTGCACAGCCGGTCGATGCGAAGGGGGGCTCTGGCGCAGCCGCGGCTATAGTGATTGATGCGGCGCCTTCGGTGGTCTCCTATCAGGGCTCGTCACAAGCGCATGCGCATCTGGTGTTAGCTCCTATGGGCCGTTCGTTGGGTTATGTGGAACCCTTGGATGTGAATCGTACATTGGCGCGAAACGAGCGTTTGGACGAGCGTCATGAAGTACTAGATATTAGTCCCGTCTATGTGCCGGAGTGAAGGGCGCGTGCGCACGTTGTGGTATTCATATATGTACGTACAAGAATGTGCAATGTGAATTGTTGTGCATAAATTTATTGTTGTGTGGGCTTGTGCAATATGCAAAAGTTCAAAGAAAACAAAAAAAAAAAACAACAAAAAAACGAGCATTGAATATGCTTAATTATTTCTATATTCGTTAGATAGTTAAAAATATGTGTGTTGTTGTAAAGAGCTAAGTGATGTAGAGATTAGTGAATGCTTATTCTAATAAAAAATAAATAAAATAAAATAAAATAAGCTAAAGAAGACAGTTATGTGTGTATGCTTGTGTTATATGGTGCACAGTCCTGTAGACAGACTAGACTTGAGCTGAACCCAGCATAAAGACCTTTTCCAAGTTTTGGTTCCGAAGATACTGAAGTTTTTTCTAGAAATGCGCTGACATGTAAAAACTGTTTTCTTTCATCCAATAACTCAACGTTCCGTTCGCCTTGTTGTTTGCCATAAATATTTCATTCGAAACTCGGCTGAGTGTGAGAGAAGTTTGATCTTTGTTCATCTGGAGGTGACTTAACGATTTAATAAATGTACTCAAGCTGCTTCCGAACCACGTTTGGTATCAGACGGCTCGAAGAGATCTCTACCCATATCTGCCGAAACTTCCAGTGTGTGGTACAGCTTCGGTTTTAGATTTGCAAGGCTTCCAAATTACGAGAAGACTACTTAAAAGGCGTTCTTGTGGATCTCTTTCATGTGACAATCACTTAAAAAGTGGATCTACAAAGTTGATAGCCTCGCTGATGAATTCCGGTTAATTTATAGAGCGCTGCCTAATCAACGATGTCATAATAATGCGAATTAAATGCAAGGAAGAGAAAATAAGGTTTCTTTGACGCAACAGTCGGTAAATTCAGCCTCCAAGACGTATGTAACGAAACTATTCAGTTGTCACCGGCTCGAAAGACTCAAAGCCCACATTGTAATAGAAGAAATAAATGTATTCAGTATTTTAGATACGCGTATGCTCCGAGGTCGAAATATAAGCTTGAAGCCCTATCTTGTTGTACCCAAGATACACAGCAACCCCTGTGCAGTTAAGAACGTTGGTTAACAAACACACGAAAGGTGAGATGTTGAAAAGCCGCGTATACCCTTGCACTCCTGCCATACAAGTGAGAGTTGTCGGGTTAAACGAAACGCACTTACAGACAGTTAAAGAGAGAGACCGAATGGCGTGAGTATGAGGAGTTTAATATGCTGACCGACAAGGGTAATATTCGAAAAATCTATGAGAAAATTTGGCATCGTTCGGCGTTCTAAGACCGAAGCATATTCATATAGAAGCTAAAAAATGATCTGGTGAACCTGCTAAGTTTATGTATGAACCATTTCTCCAATCAGCTGAGTTGTAGTGGAAGTGTAACAGGCGGAGGTAATGCACCCGGGCCCCCAATCGGCGACAAATCAAATAAACATTCCATTACCCAATAATGATGAAGTCTGAATAGCAATGCCCTCCTTTCCGTCTAAAGTCTAAGCTCCTCCCAGCGTACAAGAAGTTATAGGGTAATTTTTTTAGCTATTAGCTTTTTGGCAATACTGGTTTAAACAGCTGACATCTTCAGTTTGGTCTATAATTTAACCATGAATCGCCTTACAATCGAATCGATCTAATTGCGTTCTCTGTTAAGAAAGTTCATCGCGCGCTTCGAAGCTCATTTTTGGCTTAAGATTTTGGAGTGAAGATTAGCCAGAAGCATTGCAAGAGCTACCATTGCATCCAGAAAAAGTCCCAGTTTGGTGTGGTTAATGGGCTGGTGGCATCATTGGACCGTACTTCTTGATGAGCGTTACCGTGAGTTGATATCAAAAATTTTTTTGGCACAAAATGCAAGAGCTTGATTTGCTTGACATGTGGTTTCAACAAGCCGGTGCCACATGCCGCACAGCCCGCGTAACAATGGACTTATTGAGAGGCGAGTTCGGGACCGATCGATTGGCCGCTTAAATCAACGCCTATAGACTATTTTTGGGGGCTATGTTAAATCTAATGTCTATACAGACAACCCCGCTTCAATCGACGCATTGGAGGACAACATTGAGGCATTTATTGGTGAGATACCGGCCGAAATGTTGGAAAGAGTATGCCACAGTTGGACTAAGCGGATGGACCATTTTAGGCGCAGTCACGGTCAACATTGCATGAAAAAACCTTCAAACATTAAATTATATCGATTCAAATAAAGATTTCATGCATTTTTCTGAATTTTATGTGCTTTTTTTTTGAAAAACTTTCCTAAAGTTCTTAAAAAATCAACCTTTAGAATACTTGACTGTCTCTAGATTGCAGTCGGAAGGCCATTGTGGAAGTCCTAGTTCGACCAAGATCAGAAATTATAGAAAATATTTTTTTCTAATTGTTGTCGCCTCTTGGAAGGGAATGTCAATCCTTCCCGGTGTATTTATGAAATGAAATAAAAAGCTTCTCGTAACCCAATGCTGACATATGTATGTATATGCATATACGGTTACGTATTTTCATTGAACTTGAATAGCTAGTGTTGCCAGCCGCTTAGCAACATTGTATCTGCAACTTTTTATTTCAGAGCGCTAGAGCGCGGGCAACTTTTAATTTGCCAAACTTAACGAACTGTAAAAGCTGATGGCAAAATAACGAAATTTATACAATGAGCAATTACAGTTTGGGGGTTATGTGTGTTTCAAACCAGGCTCACTGACAAAAGCTCAGCTTAATAGAAAATGGAAAGCTTACATCGGCAGCTTTTGATCCGTACACTATACGATAAAGCGAACAAGGGCTTAGTGTACATGCTATGCGAAAAAATTATAACTTGATTACATGAATATTTTAACATACGTACATATATATATACATATGCATGTAATTATCGGGTTGATTTTACGATATTAGAAGTTTTAAGTTACATTGGAGATGATGGGTTCCTTATAAGGCTGAAGTAATGATCGTCAAAGTTTTCAAAGTTTTGCGACCTCATGCTAACGTCTAAGAAATTCTATATGAAATTTTTCATGGATGAGACTAGTAGGAACTACAGGAGCGGAACTGAACTGGAAGTAAGTCGACGAAACCGAAATTGTTCCTAATTGACTGTTGCAGTATCAGCCCATCTTTGCTTTGCATCCAAGCACTACTGCGTGAAATTATCTTATTTAGTATAAAATATCACCTTTCCAACACCAAAGACGTATTGTCCAAATGAATGAAAGTGCTCCAGCTGAGAAAGTATTCGTTGCAATACTGTCGGTGGAGCAGAGGAAGATCTTCACTCGCACACACACGTTGGAACGAACAAGTGGATATCGACTTTGGTTCACTTGGTATTTCCAACTGGTGCTAAACGGCGAAGAGAAGAGACGAATGGCTCGCGCTAATGAAGAAGAAGAACGTCATATCGCATAATCAAATCGCCTTTAAATTTACCTTCTTATGGTCCAGAACCGACATCTGATTATCTGATCTGTTAGCGTCTTTCCATTTATTCTCCTTTGAGGGATACGCGATTGGCGTCTGCGCAGCGTCAGATGCCTCTTATGGCATTGAGTAAAGATAATTTTTTTGCAAAGAGCTTAGTAGTCAATTTGAATACATTCAACACTCTCCTCCACCCGTTGAGACTCTAACTTACCTTATATAATATATATGCACATAACTATGTATGTATATAAAAAATGCCCATGGAAACCAATTCAACAAAATTATCAATAAATTTGCCCCTTCAATGGCTCTATTTTCTATTTTTCAAATAGAATAAAGAAAACTTTTAATGCAATTAATTAATTAATTCAAGTTTTTTAAAGAGCATTAAACTGTTAGGATTTTTTAATTCAATTATGCACTTGCATTCGCTAATCAAGCCAACAAACAGCTTCAGCACTAAAACCAACAAAATGCCTCAAAATATTTGGTCGAAGTTCGTTTGCTCAGCTATGCTCAGCTACGTAAGTATCAAAACAAAATAAAACAAACGAACGAATTTGAAGTTCAAGTTCATTGGCAATGCAGCAACAATTCTCGTAGGTATAATTTGCCAGAAACCGATTTGATCGATTATCATTTTGCAGTATAAATTTCGCACGAATTCATTAGCAAATCATCAGTCCACATTTCCAACTGTAACTAACCACAACCCAAACGCAGCAACATGTTCAAATACGTAAGATTATTAACTGCTTAAGTGTACACTGAATATACTTCAATACTATTAATTTCTCATCTGCAGATCACATTCGCCGCTCTCTTTGCCATCTCCACCGCTGCTCCCGGTTTCATCGCACAACCCATTGTGGCCAAAGTCGGTGCTGTAGTGCACAGCGTTCCTTCCGCCGTCTCTCACCAGAGCATCACTCAAGTGCACAACAACGCCCACATTGTCACACCTGTGGTGAAGGCTGTGGCTCCTGTGGTCCACGCTGCCCCCATTGTTCCAGTTGTGAAGACCTATTCAACCCCGGTCGTACATGCTGCTCCAGTCGTCCCATTAGTTAAGACTGTTGCTCCTGTTGTTCCAGTTGTGAAGACGTATTCCGCTCCAGTTGTTCATCATGTTCCAGTTGTAAAGTCAGTTGTTGCACCAGTCGTCCCTGTAGTCCACGCCGCTCCAGTAGCCCACATCATTCATCATTGATATAAAAGCATAAGTAAATGCGATTAAAATAGAACTGAATAAAAAACTGGAAAAAACCGGAAAAAATTATAATAATTTTTAAATCGAAGAACATAGTTTTGCTCGAAGTAATTAGTAATTACTGAATCTACTTCTTATCCTCCCGATTATTTTGCTCATGTGAAATAATTACATATTAAAAGTTCATCGGCTGTTCGGACGTCGTTTAAAATAAACTATATCAAAGCGGCGATTATATATATAAATATATAATAATCCCAAGTCTTCAAAGATTGTGGAGAGCCACTATCAATGTGTGTGGTCTGGCGTTGTCATGATAACACACAATAATTCCTCTCATGTTTGCCAAAGCTGGGTGCTTATGAGCGAATGCTTCCTTCAGACGGTCCCACATCCGGCTCACATCCCCTCTCACCATCCGCTTCGTGAAATGCGTCGGTTTTGATACGATTTAGCAGGCTTTCTTAGTTCACGATATTTTATTTCGTTAACTCCTGACGGTCATGACGATTTTCCTTATTCTATTAACATTTTTGATAACTGGCCTTACACATCGCAGAGCATATTTTACAACAAAATTGACGAGAACAAAACTCTTCATAATTGACTGTGACTGTATTGGGACCATACGTACTATACAAACTTTTAGCTGCTAACTTGCTTTTTCGTCTTTACGGAAGAAAAATTGTAGAATAAGGCGTATCTGCTCTTTACTGGTGACCATCTTTGACATCCGCTCTAACACTACTGACACTGCTCCCATTATCTTTTTTAGAACAAAATATCAGTTTTCAAAATTCAACTAGCGTAGTCCAATCCCACTTATAGAACGTGAGATATAGATCCTTATATTCCACGCTCATAGAACTTTTGGTCTTTATCTGCAAAAAACTGAACTAAACGCGATTTTATAGCCTCGTCATATTCGAAAGTTTTGCCATTTAATGAGTTCTGCAGAGATCGAAAGAAATGGTAGTCTGACGGCACAATGTAAGGGCTATATGGTGAATGCATCAACAGTACCCAGCAAAACTCTCTCAGTTTTTGGCGAGTGACCAAAGATGTGTGCGATCTAGCATTGTCCTATTGGAATATGACACCTTTACCATTAACCATTTCTAGTCGCTACTCGTTGATGGATGTCCAGCCGTTCGCAGTAGATATCCGAATTAGTCGCTTGGTTCCTGGGAAACAGCTCAAAGTATGCCACACCCTTCCCCCCAAACTGCCAGCATAATATTTTTCACGGTGATTGTCAGTATTTGAAGGGGTTTGTGGCGCTTCAGGATGCTTGGACTATGATCGTTTACGATTGAAGTTATTGTAAACAATCTATTTTTCATCTCCAGTTATCATTTGCTTCAAAAACGGGTCATATTCATTGCGTTTAGGATGCATATCTCAAGCGTTGAAGCGGGTTGTTAAATGAATTTCTTTCAATTCATATGGTACCCAAATATCAAGTTTTTCTTAAAAGTCCCAGACTTCGTATTTGATTATGGATGGCTGATTTTGGTATACTTAACTTTTCTTCAATCTCATGCTCAGTTACATGACGATCCGATTCGGCGAAAGCCTTGATATCGTCATCATCAACCTCACTTGGCCGACCTGAATGTGTCTTATCTGTGGTAATTATACGATATATTCGCGAAAAACCCTCCTTTTAATGAATTCCAGGTGAATGGAACGTACGATTTTTTCAAACAGTTCTCGGAGAGTAGAGTAGTCTTCCTGTTAATCGAAGCAAAAAGCCACCTATAAACCGAACTTTAAGTAAATTAAGCCATAAATAACATTTTTTTCGAAAAGGTCAGCCCCTAGTCCACTTACAGTTTTTTTTTTTTCAAATCAATCGCCTGGTAACTTTTGTACGCTTTCTTACATTTGTTCTACTGAGACCGGCTCTTCTATAACAATGTGCCTAATTGATCAGAAATTTAATTAATTGCTGTGAAATTCATATGAATCAGTGATAAATTAGAGTTTTGTCAAATTTCAGTGTCATAACAATTATATAATTACACCGTTATTGTCGCTAAAGTAGCTGAAAAAGGTCAAGTTGACGATGATATACCAAATTCAGATACATACAGATTTATTTGCAAAAATATTGGCAAAAGAAGATGGTGCAAAAATCGTTAGCAACACAAGTCTAAAAATTTTGAAAATATCTTTGCATGGAAAAAGTGGCAGTCAGTTTAAAAGTCAACCAGAATTTATGCTAAAGAACTATCTAAAAAAAAAAACAAATAATATTTTTTTTCTATTATTAAAAGAAATTCTTGAGGTCGGTTAACTGATTTAAGTACTGTATCTTATTTTCATCCTCTCTTCATTATTATTGTAATGAGTGTGATGAACTTGCATTCTAGGTTCGACAAGCTTCGTACTGGAAACTGTGGCAACTCTGAACACATCGTATCATAGGGCTAGCTGATATATAAAATAGACCGCAGATCGTCTTAACATCCTTAATGGCATTATTTCTTTTATTATGGGAATACTTTATGCTCTCTGAATTACCACCATACCAACTCTATTTTCTAACATTTCGTTGAACAGTGTAACTGTAGTATTTAGCTAACGATTCAGTGCAGTAAAGTTGGCGATATTGCTAATTTTGTCAACTCATGGCCCTACAATGTGAGTATTTTTAATAAAATTTACCTCTAAATGTCAAATAACTCAATTAAACTATTAGACATATTGTACTCACAGCCACTTGGTGGCGCTAATAAGCCACCCGCTGTCCAAACAACAGCTCAGGGCTGAGTTGTAGTGAACACCGACCTCTAAAATTGATTATGCCAAAACTATGATAATAGTAATTGCTGACTTCTGAGAAATATTTTCAGCAAAATTTGAAGTTCAAGTTCAATGTTAATGCTGCATTACTCATTTGCACTATAAATTTCGCACGAATTCATTAGAAAATCATCAGTCAAGTTCAACATTTCCAACTGCAAATAACCAAAACCCAAACGCAGCAACATGTTCAAATACGTAAGATTATTAATTGCTTAAGTGTACACTGAATATACTTCAATACTATTAATTTCTCATCTGCAGATCACTTTCGCCGCTCTCTTCGCCATCGCCACCGCTGCTCCCGGTTTCATTGCACAACCCGTTGTGGCCAAAGTCGGTGCCGTAGTGCACAGCGTTCCATCGGCCGTCTCTCACCAGAGCATCACTCAAGTGCACAACAACGCCCACATTGTCACACCTGTGGTTAAGGCTGTGGCTCCGGTGGTCCATGCCGCCCCTATTGTTCCCGTTGTGAAGACCTATTCAACCCCAGTCGTACATGCTGCGCCAGTAGTTCCAGTAGTTAAGACTGTTGCTCCTGTTGTTCCAGTTGTGAAGACGTATTCCGCCCCAGTTGTTCATCATGTTCCAGTTGTGAAGTCTGTGGTTGCTCCAGTCGTCCCAGTAGTCCATGCTGCTCCAGTTTTCAAATCTGTTGTTTCTGCTCCTGTTGCTCACTTCATTCATCATTAGTATTTATAACAGATCATACACAAATACCGAGTTGAAGGAACTAAATAAATATTTTTAGCAACCAAAAATTCAAAAAGTCGTTTATATTATTGAAAATAGCTCTCGCTAAAGATAGATTCGTGGGTTATGGCGCCTTACAATCGCTTAAACGATATTCGCACGAAAGTTCCTTTCGATTTGTGACGTTAAGTTCAGGTAAGTCACTTTGTTTCGCTGAAATCAATCCTTGACTAGTTCTGGTGCTTGCTTTAGGTCATGCAAATCATTTGTAAATCTTTCTCAGTATATGAGAATATCGTGTTTTGGATCTCATAGTTTGCAGTTTTACGATCTCCTCTTTTTTTTGCGTCTTCCCATATCTGCTCTTTGAGCAGATGTTATTGATGACTCCACAGCCTAGAAACCTCATGGATCCATTAGCTTACCCCCATTTTTTAATAATACCAGAAAATTTAGGAACATAATATTAATCAGCAAGAAGAACTTAAAAATACCAACAGGATTTCTTGCAGTACATTGCAGACTGCGTTTCCATATGCATAGACACAGATACAGCTCTGAGTGTGGCATCTCGCTTCTTTGAGCTTTAACGAGATACAGCAATGCATCTACTGTTTGAATATGAAACTATTTCCAGATAAAGAGGCAGTGTCATCGTAGAGTAGCTCAGCCAGAACAAAATCACTTCGAAACAATCCACTCTTCTAGGGCTTCAAAACTGACTGAAATAACGTAAAGAAATCGGAGACACATTCTCCCTCCTCATATATCTATTTAAGATCTTATTATTTACAGTTTCAATTTTAGAGATTTAAAAAGAATTTTCAAGATCCCATACGAACCAGTAGTTCATACCCTTCCATCCTTGGCTATCATTTAATATACCTCATGGAACATACAAGAACATGAAAATTATTTTGGCAAGTATGTGCAGATTTAAAAATCTAGGAAATCAAAGCTCGGACTCCAATAATTTTTTACCGAATTTTAATGCTCTTTGGTTTATGGGATATTATAACCCACTGGTTCACATCAAGCTTTTATGTATGGCCCAATTTGTAAAGTCACTTCCAAAACATAGAAATCGCTGCAAATATTTCATATCAAGCCTCTCGACGATGAAGTTGAAGAAAGGTACTTTTAATGGAACCATAGATGATCAACTAACGAAACGATACCGTTCCGTTTTGATAAAGTCAAACATAATTCAAATTAAACGTTTAACATTTCGGGTAGCATTTCCAAATGTTTCAGCTGAATCAGTTGAAATTTTTGATTAACGTGAAATTTATCGTTACGATACAGTTTTGGTTGGAACAGATACTAGACGGCATACGGCTAATGATTTCGTATAAACCATACCAGATCCTCAAAGAGAACAAATCCAATTGGTCGGTATTACGCACTGCTATTATGAAGGCCAGGATTCGAGTCCTGGTTCGACCAACATTCAAAATTATAGAAAATTAATTTTTTAGTTGCGGTAGCTCCTTGGGGTTTACACTATACGAAATATAAGCTCTTGATAAAAATCCAAAAAAATTCAATCCTCTGTCCGGAGTAGGCTAAACTGAATTACGAGTTGGAAAAACATCAAGATGATTCCAAATCGGAGAATGAGCTAGGCGAAAATCACTTCAACGGCTACAAGGCGGGAATTATATAATATATACATATATAAAAAGGATTTTTAACAGTAAAAAATATGCTCTAAATACTACTTGTTCCATTGTAACCGTAAACAAAAACGATAAAAAATTCAAAGCAAACTTCCCCAAAATGCAATCAATTAACCAAAACACAATTAATTTTGTTTAATTCAATTTGTGTAATGTACAAAAAAATGTAGGCACTTAACAGATGTGAGTAAAGTACAAAAACCGGTTACTTTTTCAAACAAATCAAGCTAAAGCTCTGTGGCATTCTTGTATCGTAGTATGTGAGCTAATAAGTGCGCGCCTAAGGTTTCTCTTTCTTCTTACTTTTTTAATTTTGTTTTTCATCTATGCACCTCCCTTTTCCTCATTATCAACAACAAACACATTTGATTGATATGCCGGCAAATGCTGACTAACAACTGACTGAGTATATAAAGGTGACGCGGTGCGCAGAATGCCATCAGTCCCACTTTACTTGCATTCACAGCAGCAAACCAGTCAAACATCCAAAAAACCAAAATGTTCAAATATGTAAGTATTTCAAATTTTGTTTTCAATTAGACGCTGAATTACTACAACTACAATATTGCCCTTTATCCTTTTCACAGTTCGCCTTTTTCGCACTTCTCGCTGTCGCTGCTGCCAAGCCCGGTCTGCTTGCTGAAACACATACCGTCGTCCAGCCGGCAGTGGTTGCCAAAACTGCTTATGTCGATACCAGTGCCTCCTCGGCTATCACTCACCAGAGTCATGTGAACTTGGTCAGGAAGGTGCCAGTGGTTCCAGTCGTCCATGCTGCTCCCGTCGTACACGCTGCCCCTATTGTGAAGACTATTTCCAGCCCAGTTGTGCACTCCGCGCCTATTGTACATGCCGCTCCAGTGGTTCATTCTGCACCCTTGGTTCATGCTGCTCCAGTTTTGCATGCCGCTCCAGTAGTACACTCCGCCCCTCTCTTGCCTGTTGTGCACTCAGCTCCTCTCGTAAAAACTGTTGTGTCGGCTCCAGTGGCCTACAGCATCCACCACTAATTGCTGCCATAAATATTATTTATAAATAAAGATATGAAAGGAACTAGAAAGGTTGTAATAAATATTTAGAAACAAATTAAAAATCTTAAAATAGAAAAGTCGATTTAGGCAAATTTTTTCCACAATTTAAGTATTCGCGCGCAATATAAAAGCTTACTAAATACTAACTTTCAAAAGTCGTTCTTAGTAGACGATCTTGCATTGGCAGGGGACTTTACGAAAGTGAGATGTCGGCAGAGGACCAGGGAGACCTCCGCGGCGTTGTAATGATCAAGTGGTCTCACCGGCTTCATTCAGTACTGGAAATGAAATATCTTTTAACAATTGACTCTTTTTCCAGCAAATAGAGGAACCTATAGTTAATTCCGAGCCGCCGCGGAAAGACTGATGGTTTTTTATGAGGATTTTTTATTTCATTTCAGAAACATATACATTGCCATTGTCAATATAGTCGAATCAAAAATCTCTTCTTTTCGCTGGTGGTTTCCAGTTGAAAATACCAAGTGAAACCAGGTCCCTCTCTACCTAATCCTTCCAACGGAGGAAGTCTTCCTCTCCTTTTGCTTGTCTATGGCTTCATTCGCGGAACTATATCAATGTCATCGCATAACTCTTATAGCTCATTGGCCGTTGCCAATAGTCATAAATCATTCGCAAAAAAATTATCTACGACCTCGAAATAACGACTGTCAACAGTGACGATACCTCTATTGTGCTCTACCATCAGTAGTTGTAGTAATTCAGCGTCTAATCAGTTTTGATATGTCCAGTTAGCTTGTGGACGGTGGGCTTTAGCTCTTCACATATATAATACCTCATATGCGATATTTAAGAGTCTAATCCTACTGTAATTCGCGCTGTCCGCTGGTTCCCCGGTTTCATGGATGAAACAGGGCTCACTTACATTCCAGCCATACAAGCTTTCGTCCGACCATATTCTGCAAAGAAGCTGAAGCATGCATCTTGTCATCACTTCACCGCTATGTTTGAATAACTCTGCCGTTAGGCCTCAGCTCTCACCGCCTTGCAGTTTAAACGGGCAATCGCTATTCGAACCTTCTTATAGTCCAATTACCGAGGGGTGACCGCAGGTACAAATGTAAATTTTTAAACTGTTTTTCTGTAATGGAATGGAAATGTTAAGCGCTGCCTAAGTTAACCGAAATGAAAATTGACCTCTTTCATTAAACGGATATTTATAAAATAAAAGCAAATTCTTTTAGAAAATTAAAAGTAATTCTTTATCAAACTTTACATAACATAGGGAATGGTTTTTCGATCTTTGCCAGAGATTTTAAGAAAGAAATATTGGCTTTAAATTCCAGCTTTTCTATATTCATACCCTAAATGTTTGAATTAAAGTTCACCGAGTGGTAGGGGTATGTAAGTAGAAGGCTAAGCTACACACTTAACATGATAAGACGTATATTTTTTTCCGACCATTGAACAACTTTATCATTCGCCTACAGGTTAGGGGTACAAGAATTTACTTACGGTAAAGCGAGCCTCTCCTAAGAAGTGACTGAAATCTAATAGTTCCCCCAACAGTCGGCTCTTTATGATGGAACGACCCGGATTTTTAACCGGCAAAGAACTGTCACTCCCGCAACATTCCCTAAAACCTACTTCTGGGAATATTTTTGCGGTTACAAGAACAACAACGAATATATCATTCAGTTTCTATGTAATAGATTGTTAAGATTTAAGATCTCGCTGCACACTTCTTACAATCTGCAGTTCCTTTTAAACCGACTTAGCATGCGATTGTTCATAAAAAAATACTAAGAGAATAAGTTATAACACAAAATTTTGGACGGTCTAGTAGTAACTATATCTATTTATTTCATACTTTTAAGAATTTCTAATGATGAACAAAATGGGCAACTGGTGCAGCATGGACTACAGGGACGACTGGAGCCACCACAGACTTCACAACTGGAACATGATGAACAACAGGAGCGGAATACGCCTTCACAACTGGAACAACAGGAGCAACCGCCTTAACTACTGGGACGACTGGTGCAACAACCGACTTCACAACTGGAACATGATGAACAACAGGAGCGGAGTAAGTTTTCACAACTGGGACAACAGGAGCAACCGTCTTAACTACTGGAACTACAGGCGCAGCGTGTACGACGGGGGTCGAATATGTCTTCACAACTGGAACAATAGGGGCGGCATGGACCACTGGAGCCACAGCCTTCACCACAGGTGTGACAATGTGGGCGTTGTTGTGCACTTGAGTGATGCTCTGGTGAGAGACGGCCGATGGAACGCTGTGCACTACGGCACCGACTTTGGCCACAAC